TCTGTCTTTTCTGCTTTAGAGGATGAAGGAACATTCCTCGGATCCGGTGACAACTTCAACCTTGTACTACATATCTGCTGAAAAGCAGCGGCAAATTATGGCCAAAATGGCCCGCACCACATGCGGACGGAGTGCAATGTCGGAAGGTTATGTTATGTATGCCTGGAGTACACTTGACGAATAGCTTTTCAACGTGCTCAACGACATACATACAGAGTCACATGCCCAACGCCATGAACCCTTTAGTGTCACAAAACACTCGCCAAACCAACCTTCACGTCGCGTCTAGAGCACGATGTCAGGGCAAAGCAGCGCTCCTGCGGATGGTGGGAAGCGAAGGTGGATCGCCAGCAGTAGTCGAGACTCGAGATCCATCTACGAGCATCGTATTGTGACCGACACGATCGACTCGTGTCACAGGAACAAGGACAAGAACAAGGAAGGAAGGGTGGCTCGGTAGGTCGGTCCCTGCTGCAGCAGCAGCAGCCGCTGCATGGGAAAAAAACCGAAGGGAAGAGAAGGGAGTAGAGTATGTGGACCTGGCTCTTCAGTGTTCAGGGCTCCAGGGACTGAGAACGCATGCTTATTCGGGGCCTCAAAAATCAGATCACTCCGCCTCTGCCCTGCAGCAGCAGCTGCAGCTTCATGTTTCGTCATGCTAGGTTTGAAGTGAGGAGCATCTGAGAGAGAGAGACGGCCCCCACCCTCGCCCTCACCTCCCCTCCTGCAGCTGCCTCGTGCTTTGTCCTTTTGTCTAACTACCAACAATGAAAGTACAATCGATTGGTGCCGAAAGTGTACAACGGGATGTAGTGAACCCTTGGACCGGCCCCAATATACTGTAAAGAAGCTTAAAGCATCCATACTTTCTTAAATATACAGCAACTGATCTTAGATTCACGATTGACTCGGTCTCTAGACTTTATCTACATGTGAATATTTGACGACACATGCAAAATAAAGTAATCGGTCTACACCTTTGAAGGTCAAAGCTACGAAATCTTGTAGATGATGAAGTCGAACGACCGTCATTAGCGCTAACGGTACGTAGCCAATGCGTCAGCCCTGTCTTCAGAACGTGAGTATACTCTGTAAACTATTATTTCGCTCTTCGGCTTAGCTTGATGGATCTCTTAAGCTCTTCCCCAAGTCGAAACCCCAAGTCCTTCCCTGCAAAAAGTGTAGCACGAGTTTTCCTATTCGAGCGGGATCCAAATTTTAGTTCCAGCTTCACCACACGCCTTCCCTCCCCTCCCCTTCCATTCACTTCCTTTCCTCTCCTGTCTTCATGATCTGTGATTGAACCCTTTTTTTTATTTTCACATCTCTAGCATCCGATTCACTTTTCCTTCTTTCGGTTGTATAGAGAGTTATAGTTCACTGTTCGCGTAGCTGTAAATGTACTGACGTGCTCCTTAGCTTCCATGATAATAGACTTGTCATGAAGGAGTGACCATCCAGTGAGAGTGAGTGAGTCGGAGGCTGTATGGAGAGATCATCTTTGACCACCAGTGCAAAACCAAACAGTATTGAGATCAGCAGCTCTACGCTAAGGGATTCATTAATGTTCTGCTCTACCTTAGCCCCTTCCTACTATTGGTCTATCGTCGGTCTATGAGTTGTGTTGGTGTTATTAATCAAAAGCAAACGCAGAGCAAGCGAGCGCTGCTGTTCCCATGCTACACTCTCGTGCATTAATCATTACCCAGCTTCAAAAAGCCGCAAACGCTGCAAAATTTCCCAACCTTGCGAGTCTTCTTGTTGCTGCCGGTCGCTGTATTGACTCTTGACTTCACGAGGTTCTGTGCTGTTGGATTCCAACACCGGAATCTCCACTCGAATCTCCAGCGACATGGAGAAGGTCATCAGCTCCCATTGCATCTCGTGTGTGCCAAAGTACAACCGCAGGATGCAGAAACTTCTGTCAAGCGTAGCGGTCGAATGAGGCAGAGGCGGTGGATGATTGTAACGTGTGAAACCAAAAACGGCATGCTCCAGAGCAGGACATATAGTAGGCGCTAGGGCTGAGATTTTTCGGCCGAATCAAGGGAGCTCATTCTTTTTTGAGCATGCGAGGCTAATATTACTCCAGCTGCCGTTTCATGATACAGCAGCAGATCGAGTCGAGCATTCTACTCCCACCATTTGATATGGAGAAATTATCTTGACTCGTATGAAGGAATCCTGGCTGCTCAGTCCATCGTAGCCGGATATGTGATCGATTACAGCGTTCTTCTTCCGTCATTAAATACAAAACCTATCAAAAAACGGGATGAGGGTAGATGATTATTATCAGAGCTCAGCCTGGCTTTCATGCAATTGCAATGCAGGATTTGTACTCGGTGCTTGTTAAGCTTTGATGTCTAAACTCTTAACTGGTGGAAACGACTGTAAGAATATTATAATACGCACACAAAATGGCAATGGGACAGGCTCATAGAGTAGCTCAGATAGTTTCAAAATTACGTGGCCGCAGCGGATTGTGTCCCCACTTTTCATACGAGTGCTCAGAAGGATCTCAAATTTGACTGGCGAAACTCAAAAACTGCTGGAGGACTTTGTGGATCGGTTCAACGGCCGGAATCCATGACGCGACTCATTGCAGATTTATATGCTCCTGACGATTTCCATCCATGCGAGGCAGGGAGGGAGGGCTTCTGGGCTGGCTCGCTTGCACAGCACAGCACATGCATCGGAAGTCTGAAGCCTGTCGTCGACAGCTCGCCATTACGACGAGAGTGCGCACTTCAGGGCATGCGTGACGTTCAGTTGGGGAATCTCTGGAACAAGCTTTTCGAGCTCGTCTGCTCTTATTCTGCACGATCGTGAAGAGAATTATTGCAATTAACGTCAATTCTCGTGACTTCTTCCCGTCGGACCGTCGGTCGACCGGTTACCATTGAAATCATAAGGCTTTAACAACTCGCTCACAGTTTGAACCGCTGACATTCAAACGTAAATCTCAACGCCATTTCCTCCAATCGAGATCTCGAGAGCTTTCAAATCTCAGTGGCTACTTCCCAAGTCTCAAAATCTCTAGACCTCGCTCGATTTCGAAATAATTGTCTGCGTGGATCGAGATCAAACGAAAACCTCCAATTTCTGCCTCCATCTAGGGAAGCAAATGTATCATCTCTAACGGACAGACTTGAGGGTGGACGTGATAGGCTGGCTCCTTTGACATCATGCATGGAGAACAATATTCTCAGATCTCACGTGATCGACTTTCCCCGGTGCCGCTGACGACGGAAAATGATAATTTCATGGGCTTAATTTCTCGCCCAACCGATCGACCCTTCCGCATGAAGGTGGACAAAATTCCCAGGCCGAAACTCGTGCTCATTGCCGGAAATGGCATCCCTGCCACCGGAACCGACGAGCTTGGCCTACGAGGAGCGGCTGCATCGCAAGGCACCGAGAGGTTTGCGGAAGATGGATGAGAGTGTGGCGGTGGTCGCATTACGGCCTCGTGCCGAGTACGAATTACGAATTACGGTGCGACGTAGTGGCGAATGCTGAGAAGGGAAATTGGAGACTCGGGGCCCGGAAATGGTGGCGAGAGCGTATGAAGGCGACGAGACGAGGTTGCGAGGTACGGGCTTCGGCGAAGAGAGAAAGCTCGGGGCATGAAAGCCACGGGAATCAACGCGGAGCCGGTACGATTCGTGCCTTTCCACGTCCGTCCTCAAGGCGGAGCTCGACGCGTGAACGGATTATTTTCCCTCCCTCACTCTCACTCTCTCCCCGCCTCGTGCAAATTTACACGGCGAAACTACGTGACGGGATGGATGGGGACGCGGGGAGGGATCATGGAAGCTTCGACTCTGTAGAGCGAGTCTCGGATCGGAGCTCGTTTCGTCTTATCTTGTGGCAGATTGCGTCAAAATTCCACTCCTGCAAAGTGGAATTTTGAACTCCCCCACTGCCCTGCGATGCTCTGCTCTACTCTGCTCTGCGGAGCGTGGAATAGAATTGCATTGCATCACGCACGGCCTCGCCTCGTCTTTGACCGGCCGGTCGCCAGAACTGGAGAATAGTCCAAGTGTCTGGTCTGCGAGCCTAAGAGCCATCCAGCCATCAAGCCAGCCAGCCAGCCAGCTAGCCTTAGCTACGCCTTAGCCACCGCGCTGGTCTTCTGGATCGGCGCAAGCTGATGGCGACACTCCGCACTACAAATGTAGCTTCGCATTTATGCCTCTTCCCGCATTGCACTCACTCACTCACTCCCCCGACTGATCGTCCGAGGGGAAAAGAAAGCAGAGAAAGAGAAAGCGACAACCTCCCCACTTCTCGTGCCACATCCTCCTCAGGCCCAGCAAGCAAACCACAGCAAACCTCACCGAAGCTCGGCAGAGCAAACCCTAGCGAAAGCGAGAGAAGGCGGGGAAGAGGGTAGAGGGTAGAGGGGAGGGGAAAGAAAGGTAGAGGGAGGGGAGGGGAGGGGAATCGTAGGGGGTGCGAGGGATCGTACTTGCGTAACGTGAGGATTATGACACCGGCCAACACGTTTTACCCCTTGCCAAGGAAGAGCCCTAGAGAGAGAGAGAGGCTAAGCAGCAGCGGCCCAAGCTGCTCTTGACTCCATCTCATCTCTCCCCCCCCCTCACTCACTCACTCCTTCGTCGTCATCGTCGTCGTCTTGAGATCAGGCGCTGCTCGCTCGCTCTCTCGACATGGCGGCTTGACTATCCGAGCTCTTACTTATCCCGGAATGATTTCCAGGTCAGTCAGTGGGTGAGTCGTCGTCGTCGTGAGCACAGGGCGGCCAGGCCCAGCCAGACGGCCACAGACGGACGGACGGACAGGCAGACACAGACAGACAGACATCGTCGGCCTCGCGAGTCACGACGCCGAGGGGAAGACGAGCAGCAGCAGCAGCAGCAGAAGCAGTTGGGCCGAGGACGCGGGAGAGGGAAGGCGAAGGCGGAGGGGGGGGGGGGGAGGTGAGAGAGAGCCCCGTAGCGGTGACATATCTCTGAATAGGTTTGCCGTGTCCGGTCGGTCCTCACTGACCACGAGAGCCAAGTGACGGACGGACAAAGCAACACTCTCTCTCGCACTCTCCCTCTCCCTCGCTCTCGCTCTCTCTCTCTCTCTTTAGTTCTTTTCCCGCGGTCTCACCGAAGGCAGGAGCGAACGAGCGAACGAGAGCGCAACGCGCGGCTGCCATTCTGCTTCTGCCGCGGAAGACGTTGTCGCTGCTATCGGTGCTCGTCGTCTGCTCTGCGAGTTTGGCATCGCGCATTGCGCGCCAAGCAAGCGGCGGCCATAGCCCATTCTCGGCGAGCTTCAACCCTACGAGGCGTCTCGTTAAGCTGCTGCCTGGCCTGCGCGAGAGAGAGATTGAGAGATTGTGGGAGAGCGAGCGAGCGAGCGAGCTGCATCTGGCCCGTCCGCTCGGCTCGGCTTGTCGTTTTGGTTTGTTGCTGCGCATCGACCTCGGGCGGTGGCGACCTCTTTGAGCAGATTGGCGACGGAGGAGTGGGAGGGAGAGGAGAGCTGCGTAGAGTAGAAATACCGCGTCCAGGGGTCGGAGCAGGGCCATTAGTCTGTCGATTGGGAGCCGTACATTGCTTGCCTCCCGCCGCGAGGAGGAGGAGGAGGAGCTTGGGGGCGTCGGGTTTCTTCGTGGCAAGGGAGGGAGCGAGGGAAGGAGGTGGGGCTCGTCGGATGAAGAAGGTTTGCGGGAAGGGGCCGGATAGGAAAGAAGCAGATCTGTGAGCGGATGCTGTACGGTTCTTGTAGGGCATAGAGGACGGAGGAAGACTGGTAGGGATCGGCTTCGTATGTCGGGCTCGATTCGAGTGGGAGGAGGAAGAGGACGCATGGACCGCCGCGTAGAGATATGATGTGTGTGTGACGCGGCAGGTGTGTAAATCAGGTGCGGCCGGGGATTGTAGCGTGGGGGTGGCGGACGATTGCCCGGTGCTCTTGGGATCCACATCGCAGTTCGCAGCGGCTTCGATCGACAGAAATCCTTCTCCAGCGGCGCCATGTCCCCCAGGAAGACATCGAGCCCGCCCAAGAAAGTCGTTTGTCATAATGAATCGAAAGAATCGGAGGACAAGCCTTCTCTTGAGCAGGACTCGGCTTCTACGAAAGACGATTCCGTCGCCGAGTTACCGATTCCTTGGAGGACCAGCAGGCGCTTGCAAGAAGCCACTTATCGTTTGATTCAAGAGCGGTGAGTGTCCACCTAATGTCGGCGTTTCATTCTCTCCTTCCTTCTTCCTCCTTCGTTCTCCCTCTTCGCTTCCCCTCTTTAATTTGTGGATATTGGTCGAAGGAATTGTCGATTGATCTTTGACTGGCGCGATGTCCATGTCGTCGAGTGGAATTGCTCTCACTATCAAGTCTTTTGTGGGCACGACCTGTCTCTCACGAAGTCGGTGACGGTTTGGGTCACAGGGATGGAGGACACGCTATCAATTCGGTAGCAGCTTCTAAACATAAACACTCACAGGGATTCCCTTCACAGGTGGGGAAATCCTCCAAGCGAGAGCTCTCGACGTCCGATTCGGATGCGGAGGGCAGCGAGCTAACCGACGAGAGGAAAGAGGAAAAGAAACCTGCGGCAGAACCCAGAAAGAAACGGAAGAGCGTGCACTTTAGTGACCCTCTCGTGGTTTACATAGATGACAAAAAGCAATCCGCGGCATCGCCGAGCAAGACTTCTCCGAGGAAATCCGAGCAAGGAGACGTCGCTCAACCGACCGCGAACAGTCCGCCCAAGCAGATCATGTCGTGCTTCGACCTCCTTTGTAATCACGTCGGACCTAAAGGCTGGAGGTGTTACAGGTCATGTACCGAAGGGACTTCTTTCTGCAACTATCATCAGACTTCCAACGCATCCATAGTTAGAATCTCCGTTTGTACCTGATGGCTCGGAATAGCAGAGTCTTATCTGTACAGAAGGCGACCTAGTTGTAGATAAATCAGTCACAGTAATTCATTGATTGCACACATTTCTTGGTCACTTCGAATCCAAATGTCGTCATTATTGATGGAAAAAATTCTCGAAGAGTGACCCTCTCAAATCGTGTCGTTCAATTTACTTGTACCTTCTGTACCTTGTCTACTTTTCCAAGAGAAAGAAAGAAAGTTTGTACTCTCGATTGCAGCTGCAATTTGGAGCTTGGCAAGACTGCGACGTCTTAGTGTGTGACTATGGCCCAAGAAATTTGCTCATGTGAACAGGCAGGGCCAAAGGCATGGCATGAAGTGAGTTGAGTGGCAAGGGGAGCACTGGTACCGACTTCACCATCTCTTTAGTGATCAACTTCCTCTGTCATGGCACGGCATGGCATTTAACAGCTGGCTCGAGTCTCCGGCGAAATTATGCGTGAACATGCCATGCCATGCCGGCCGAGCAAGACATGGAACGAGAAGTAACAGGAGCATTTCGTTGTTTGCGCCCACTTACCATCACTATTGACTGCGAGGACGAATGAATTCCGGCTCCGAGCAGGAATGCATTGTCTTCTCGACTTTTTGACATTTTCCATAACAGAGCTTAAAATACACGACACTGAGGTGCATCCGAATGGGGATTCGAATCTTCAGTCTGACCATGGAAATTTAATCATGATGCCACCGACTGACAAATACTGTGCCTGCCAGAGCATTGGATGTAAAGGGTACAATACTCGAGGCCGTTTCCCCGATGGAGGGATGTGTGGCCAGAACCACACAAAAAGCGGCAGTCGGCGTACTCGTACTAAAATCATGACCATGCAAGCCCTCCGAGGTGACTTAAAAAAATAACATGTGACTGCTCGAATTGCGCTTCTTGACAGGGATAACACTGTCATTCCTCCCTACCTCCATTATCCGTTCCGCCTGATCGAGCTCGTCACCACACGTCTCTTCGTCTGGGCGCACATCATTCATTATAATTCCGCACCAATAATTCACGACCCGAGAATGTAACCCCGCGGCAGAGCCTCGTCTGCCAGAGCGGAAGCCCGACGGAGACAATAGAATCTCGACGACGGCAATCCGTGTAATATGAACAGCCATCATTATTTCTACACCTACCCCGGAAGTCCTGACACTCTTCGATCCCAGGCTTTCCTTTCCTCGTAGCGTAGGCGCTGCAGAAACACAAAAGCTTGCATCCGCGCTTGACCATGTGCTGTACCTGGGAACAAACGTTTTGCTGGCCTTCTCAGTTCCATTCAACTCGACCTTTGAGGGATCCCCTGTCTCCCAAAGACCTCGCCAAAAGTTCTGCCCCTCCGCAGCCCATTGCTGTCCGTGCAGTCAGAGTCAAAAAGTCAACTCGGACGAAAGAATGAATGTTTTTCTTTTGGAGGGAATCAATCACCTTTGACATGGAGAGAGAGATAGAGAGAGAGAGATAAGAGGGAGACGAGAGACACTTTGTATCCGTGTTCTGCATGTACGGTGGTGTCCAGAGAAATATTCTGCTTGCTGGACGAATCTGCCAACACTTTGTAAGTCGTATGTATATGCGGACGGACAATGCATATCTGTCATTCTCGAGTGGGGAACGAATTAGACGGGTCAGGTCTGTGAGAAGGTCCTTCGTATGGCGCTCGAACATCTGCTGATCTCCCTCTGGACGAGACAACGAAGAAAGTCGTGCGTGGGGATGGGGTATCTGAGAAACCAAAGCCAAGGGAAGGAAGCACAGGGGAATGCTCCAGTGGAGTCAGTTCAGTGACATTGCACTGTCTGTGGACTGTTGGCGGCAGGCCATCTGCAGGATTGTCAACCTGTGTGGAGACTGTTCCCTTCTCTTCTATTCTATACTATTTCTGGTTTTTTGCAAATGAGCTTGATTCCGTTTTTCTCATATTCTCATGATTAATTCTCATATTTTGTGGAAGAGAGAGAGAGAGAGAGATGTATGTGTTGAGGAATCTTGATCTCGTTTAGTTCCGTGTTTCTTTTGTGCTACAAGACGAGGACGAAGAGTAGTGCTTCACGGCACGCAGAATCGAGGAGGATCGAGTTGTTTGATTGCCGAGGAGAAGAAATCCTTTTCGGAGTCTCCATTGTCAGAGGCAGTAGCACGAGTCTCACACGGCACCGTTGCAGGCGATGCCGTCATTGAAGAGCCAACCCCACGAGCTCGGATGCATGAGCAATCTTTGCAGTCTTCAGCGAAAGCCCGGATGACATTCTCCACCAGATGAGTTTCTTCCACCTGGAACTGCTCCATAAAGCAGAAGAAGGGGAGCAGCTCCGGAAACATCTAGAAACGGGGAAAGCTTTGGGTCCATTCGGACGACTGATAGATCGATCGATCGACTGGCCCCGAACGCGTGAGGAACGATGACAGACTCGATCCCTAAAGTCTCTGGACACCCCATGCCGCATGAAAAAGCGACTATGGCGACGCCTAGTCTCGAACGACCGTTTCCTCCCCTTCTCCGAGCAACCATCATCGAAGATCAGGATCCCCTTCAAGACAATTACTACTCTCACGCCAAGAGTCATAGCGACCCTTGAGGCGAGAGTTGCAATGACTTGGAGGAGGGTCTTAGCGACCCTCCAGTGCGAACGCAGTTCCCGCTTCCGACTCTCGAATCAGCGCCCCAGGGCCACTGCACACGTCATCGACCTTCTTCTACAGGACGACCATACTCTTCACGAATCCGCCAGTCGAGAAGTACCGCATTCGCAGCAGCAGCAGCAGCAGATGTACAGCGCACGGTTCCGTGGATGGAGATCTGAAAATCGATCGCACTCCTCTGGTGGTAGATTTGGGGTCACAGATCTGACGAGGAGCTTGTGAAGGCTGTATGCTGCCGATGAGCGAGAAGTGAAAATGGGGTCGGGACCCGGGACGGTGATTGCATCTTTCAGCGACGACCGATTCCAATTACGAGGTTGGGCCCGAGACGTGTACAAGACTCGTGAATTCCCATGGCCCTCGTCCCCATCGGCTTTCTCGAGCGTCCATTAGGTCGAGACGAGCTGTGCAGTCAGCGGTAGAAGTCAAGTCCTGCAGTCGATTGCGCAGTCGAGGAGTAACGTGACCGGCATCGACTTCTGGCGACTGGAAGAAGCATATCCTCGGGCATGTCCTCTGTTCGACGACGACGTGTTCGCATGCACATGCTTCGTCGCCGGTTCCTGATGCTCGTGAAACAGCACGAGCTTGCGTGCTCGGTCCCCGTGAAGGCTGTGATGGCAGCTATGACTGCGCAGCTGAATTTCTGATCCGGCCTCCTTCGTCCTCGTTCTCGGACGATGGACCAGGCAACCGACACACTTCTCTCGTTTCTGGCTGTGAACCCGAGTCCCGACGACATTATGGAAAGCCGGTCCTCGAGGCAGGACCCAGAAGGAAGGAGGGAGGAAGACATACGAAAGCATCGGATATTCCTTATCGCGAGCCTTCCCATTCTCATTCCCACGATTTGTGCAGCTGGTGGCTGCGGTAGATACCAAATGGATTCGAGGAGTTCGGAAGATGCGCGATGTCTGGTGGATGTGCGAAATTCCGAGTTGATAACTGGTCGATGATTTTACACCTTCAATATTATTTTATGAACACCATTATGATCTGCGGGGATGCACGCCCCATGGCTCGTGCCATCATTGCCTGGCTCAAAGCTGCCATTCTCAGCTAAGCATTGGTGCGATCCTCCACAGCGCCAGTCATTCACTGTGACAGTTGACAGCAGCTGGAGTCGGAATGGAGAGATATATTGAAGGCGATGCAGGGTGATGGACCCATTGCACAGAGTGATGGAAAAGGGAGGTTGCTGAAGGGAGAAAGCAATAGCGTCGCAGTGATGGCCAAATTCCATGGGATGTCAGGATTTGGTAGCCGAGCCTCCAGATGCCTCCGATTCCAATTCCAATTCCAATTCCAGTATTGTTCCAGCTCCGTCAGCTTGAGTCTAGTGTCAAAGGTCTAGAAAATAAAATGGAGGGCTATCCGTCATCCAGCGAGCCAGTCAACCAACCCGTCCGGCGACATGCCGAGAAAGCATCTGGTAGTGCGAAACTTCCATGGGGCGCAGGCAGGCCGGCAGGAATGCAGAAACCGCGGCTGGATCCGGTGGAATTCTTCAGAGGCACCACGAAATCGACACCCGGTGCAGGTGTCTATCCTCCCCATATCAAGGATGCAGTTTGACTGACGTATTTTCGAGCAGGGTTCCGGAGGCAGTGCAGACACGAGCCATTGGCAAGCAATACAGTGCTGTGCCGTGCTCTGTTTTCTGTCATGTCACCGACATGGTCATGGACTCGGCCGTCGAGTTTAAGAGCTCGACGCGTGCAATTGCTGAATGAATATATACTCAAGTTAGCACGGTACGCTTGGACCTGGATGTTACCCCCTTGCATACACGAGCAGAGGTCTTCTACCATGAGCCGAGCTTTGACCGCCGAGACTCAAGAAGACAGAGAGAGGGAGGAGAATCAATCGGCATCAGTTCTCTCTCTTTGATATGCAGTGAGCTGAGCTTGAACAGAAGCAGCACAAATTCCAACGTCCGATGTCAGGCTCGCTTAAAGACCTCGCACAGGTCTCCAAGTCCAACCGCAGTCACTGCATACGAAACGCCTGCAGGCACTGCCACTCGATATTCTCCCATAAATTAAGGGGGGAAAACAACAGCGCTCAGAAAGTCCTCTTTGCCAGGTTTGTGTCGCTTCTGTCAAAAAGGTCGTCGATAGATACATGGCGGATTTGAGCGAGAAAGGCCGTTGCAAAGAGTTGCGAGAGGAGAGGAGGACTGTCGTCGTTAGGGGAAGAAACAGCTGACAGTGATTTTCAGAGTTGCTATGCGCATTATTGTGCAGCCATAAAGAACAGAGAGACGAGGTTTACAATAAAAAAGGAGGGTGACGCAAGAGATTGCGTCCACTGTCATTCCTTTGCTCGCTCGGATAGAGCATGGCGGAATCTCAAGTCGGGTCCGCGAGGCACCGTCGGTACCGACGACGTAAGCACACATGTCGACTGTCTTCGAGCGCGAATCCGACAGCTTGACGCAATGCGAGATCAATGCCACCGGCGTACATCAAAATTTACGCTCTGCAGTGAACGACAGTCGGCACAAAATGTCAACAGTCTCGCACAGTTCGTTCCCGCTGTCACTCATGCGGTCATCCTCTCGAGTACAGAGACGGAAGCTGCCTCTGCCATCGGCATGTGCGCGGATATGCTTCTCGTTCTCGTCCCTGCCCCCGTTCCCAGCTCTTCGAGCCTGCCTGGATCTTGACCATGCTCATTCCTGCATCGGCGACAGAGCCTGCCTGTCTCACCATTGCAATCAATAATCATGAGAGCACAATACGTAAGACTTATGTCAAACGGACCGCCTCTGATACTCTGCCTACTTACAGAATCGTCATCAGTCCAAACGGACCAGCCATGACTGAAAACTCTTGTGGAGAGGGATTGTTCGGGAATTTTCCGACTCAGATTGATGCTTTGCATCCGTCCCTCTCTGTCCGCGAGCCATGTCTAATAAGGCGGCAACAATTCCTTTTTTTTTTCATTTCCAGTCGTGCCGGCTCTGTTCGTCACGAGGACGAGCTCGGAATTATGCGACGGGTATCTGAGGACAAGACACTGGAACTCGAGACATCTGCGACGACGACGACGATGGTGATGATGACGATGATGCAACCGTCGACCGCGTGTCGTGGAAAGTTTAGGCTCTGTTTAGGGTTGACCATCAATTCGTCATTCAATTTCAGTTCATTCCCTTTTCATTTGGTTTTCATTTCTTTCAGATTTTTTCATTTCATTTCGATCCCCACGCCTCGACGGTCTATATGGACATTCTGATAATGGAGTTTCTTAAGAAGGGAAACTCGCAAGTCTCTCTCTCTCTCTCTCTCTCTCTCTCTCTCTTCCTCTTCGCAGAGAGAGAGAGATAAGTCCGTCTCGATCCGGAGACATTTTGATTTCCGCAATCGCCAAAGATTTCCGACCTTGTAGATGAGTATCATCCTGCAACGGACACGGAGAGAAATCAATTAGCGGCGCACTATCAGCCGATCGCCATGGAAACAAAACCTGCTCGCTTGCTCGCAAGCTTCAACTGGGACCACTTCAGTTTCCCAACTCCTTTCGGGTTTGGACCACCGGCGTGAACCCTGGTCTCCTCGTAAAGGCCATGGACGAACGTTATGCTACCCACATGTATTGAAACGTGAGCGATGCTCGTGCCAGAGAAATGGCTCGACCACACTCCTCCTGCTCTTGTAATGATTTCTCCACGCATCTGTGTCAAGACCGCCTTCGGGCCTGGAAATGTTAGCCCATCATCAGATAAAGGACGCTTGACATTCCCAATATTAATTCTAATCGGGGTTAGCTTCTTGTTAATCGGTTGAGGGATAGCTGACCTCTAATTTGAAGGACTCTTGTGATATATTGAGCATCAATTCCTTCAAGTTCCGGACATTTGTTGGCACGAGAGACGATCGGTTTCACTTGTCTGGCACGATATTTCAACCTCACGAAAATCAGGCCAGGCCGACGTACGTACCTACCACTAACGAACTCAAGCCTTTATCAGAACCCGAGGACGATCGATCGCTGGTCCATTTGAGCAGCTGGCAGGCAGAGGCAGGCAGATGAACATGGCGATGGGCTGCTGTTCGGGGTAATGTGGATACTTAGTTCTGGATTTGGACAGGTTGACTCGGATGGGGAATCCTGCTGCTGCCTGGTGCTGCTGCTTTTTCAGAGAGCGGAAAAGATTGACGTCTGAGTTCCGTCCTGCACGTGAACTTCCAGCATTCTATATTTCGGCGATGCGTCCGATCTCGGACGGTCGGGCCAGACCATGGCCGCCTGCCTGCCTGCCTGCCTGCAGGCACAAGCACTGGAATCGCTCGCGCGTTTCCACGCGCGTCCTGTTTCTCCATGTCCCTCGCCGAGCCCACGTCTCCTCTCGTCCCGTCTCCCGTTTGGCAAACATGACTTTGCCTTTTGCGTCATGGCATGTCGCTCGGGCCCTGGAGATGGCCCCTGGTACTCCTCGCCACGCCTTTCACATGCAGAGCTCAAATCTACTCTGTTCCGTTCCGTTCTGTTCTGCTCTGCTCTGTTCTGCTTTCTGCTGTCCTGTTCCGTTCTGTTCTGTTCTGTTCGGCGGACTTCTGTGCTCCTGAGTCTCGTCGCGGCCAGCACTTCAGATTTCTTCGAGCTGAAATCGCCTCCGACAATATCGAGCGATGGCATCACAGTCCGAGGCTCATTGCGCTGACCGAGACTGCGTAGTCTCAGCGTTGGCGATTTGGCCTTGCGATGGAGATTGACTGAGTTGTCATCTTGCACAGAATCGCGAAATCGCGAGTGACGTCGTCCGATTTCGGACGGTCCGCGATCCGGGGGTTGGGGTGCGAGGTCAACGTCGCGCTCGATACTCGCGGGGGTAAATTTAGAACCATCGCTGGTCGCATTTCCTGCACGGGACGGACACTCGGAGGCCTCGCTCGCTCGGCTCACGTGTTTCCTGGCAGCGATGAAGGTGCTCGCGTACCACCACCCTCCGCCTCCGGAGGCAATGTCAGGGAGGGACGTCGTCATCCGCCCCTCTCGACGACGAGTGTCTGGCGGGAACGAGAAGACCGCGCGTGCCAAACCTCAAACCTCGACGACATCTCCTTCATCTGCCTCCGCGAGTGTCCTAAGAAACGGTCGGTCGCGCATTCCACGACTTCGTGACGCTTGTTGTCCGGCTCTTTCACGACACAGAGAGAGACCGACGGTTGCACACGTTTCCCTCCGGATTTTCTTCTGTGACCGGATCGATGCTCGATTGCTCGGAGCGCGCGGGAGGAAGATCCCCCGGATTTTCGGCTTCAAAAAAAGATCTGTTCCTTAAAACCAGGACGGTCGCTACCGTCGCGAGTCGCGACTCCTGAGTGACAGACGAGGTTCAGTCAACTTCTCATCCTCGTTGAAATTCTCAGTTGGTCGTCCCTCTCTCGTCGAATTCGAGCTCGGATTCAGGAGCCGACCGCCTGCCCGCTCCGAGAGTGCAGAATTCGTGTACACAGCATGGCTGAGGAACTGCAGGTTTGAGCTCAAAGGTTCTGAGAGGCAGGGCCGATGTGGTAGGAGCGAGAGTCTCGAAGGAATGCATGGACTCGGCAGAGCGAGCGAGTGAGCGAGCCTTTGACATTTCTCTCAGATCGCATGGCGCTGGATCGAATGCTCGAACGCTGACTTTCACATCTGCACGTGCTTCGGCTTGCAGCAGGCAGAGACGTATGCCAGATCTCGGCCGGCTCTTCGACTCAGAACACTCTCTCGTCCTCGTCCTCGTGTCGGAAGCCCTCACATGACGGGCACGAGCGGGAGTCCAGCTCAACCACGCCACGACCTCTGGCAGCCTTCCTCTTTCGCCGTCGGGCTTTCTCGTCTGCTCGACCCAAGCCCGGCTGACGTCCAGTGGCTCACGAGAGCGGACGCTTCGAAGTTGCGCGCCTGCGGAAGAGGCCCCAAATCCTCATCTCCTTCGGAAAATGTGCTCGTCCAGCTAAAGAAACATCGAGAGAGATCGAGAGAGATCGAGAGGGAGAGAGAAAGCGGAAAAGGGGAGGGCTTTGTGGAAAGTCAAGGAGCTATGTCTGCAGCCAGGGCAGAGGAGGAGATGAGAAGAACAGGGGAATTAGAGAGTATTGCAGCTGCGCCCCACCCGCACTCAACTCCACTCCACAGCTCAGCTCAGCTCCGAAAGGCATCTTTCGACTCAGCAAGGGGCCCTCCCCTTTTTTATGTAAGGCCCTTTACACGGACCCGAAAAAAGGCGGACACAAGTTCACCGATCTCCGCTTCCCAGGTCCGTCTCTGCAACCTCACCTCTCGTTCGCGAGACCGAAACACTCTGACCCGACCTCATCATCTATCCTATTTCTGGTTCGCCCTGCCCTGCTCTGCCTGCCCTCTCGTGCAACGGCGGAAGGGAGTAGCTAACGATAGCAAACTCGCGTTCATATAACTCGATAGAACAATCGGGAGAGCGCTGGTCGACCGAAAGGCAGCGGGGGCGAGCGTGGCGACCAGGTTTCGACGGGATTTCGTTCACATGAGCAAAGAGTGTCCGCCATGACTCGCCATCAGGGCGCGTGTCAGAGCAGATAGATGAGGGCAGCAGGCCTAAGCCAAAAGCCATCCCGCGTCCCCTCCTCCTACTAGTGCACTAGCAGCAGCAGCTGCTGCTCTCGTAGACGTCCATTCGGGAACGAGCCCGAGCCTCCGAGCCCGTGCCGGTGCCCACTTGGGAAAGCGGCGCGTATCAAGAGCAGGCACAAACAAAAGATAGCGATCGATCCCCCATCACCACCCCTCCCAAAGTGGACGAGGACGACGACGACGAGAGATCGAGCGCAGATTGAAAGCGACCGGCGAATCCGAGCGGCGGTGCATGCGCAGGGGGACGAGGTGAATCGGCTGATGCCACTTCCCACGTACCAGGAAACCCCCATTCAGAATGAGACAACGGCGGTCGTACAGAGCCCCGGCGCCGGACCCCGGGGGAGGGGGAGGGGGAGGGGGCGCTCCAGAGGAAGGAAGTTGGGGGTCCGTGGTACAACTGCTCTGGTACAGCTGTACCAGAGCAGTTGTACCATGGCGAGGGAGGGAGGGAGGGAGGGGAGGAGAGGAGGGGGGTCGGATGGGGGCTCCGTGGGGCGCGGGTCGGCCCCACTGCAGTCGAGCAGCTGCTGCGAGGGAGCAAGCTGTCGCGCCACTATATGGTCAGAAGGAGGCGCGAATCTGCGAGCTCACGATCTCTAACGGTGGTGGGGGCACGCGAGGAGTGCGCAAACGAGATCGCGATTTCATGCCACTGTCTAACGAGCGCGACGGGATGAGGTGGGCGCGAGAGGATTGCAAATAATTCCGTCCTGCCGAGCTCATCATCAAATGGTCATCGCAGTCAACTGTTACGTGAGGACCCGATAAAGCGCCGCTGGGGATTCCAGTCGGTTCCTGCCTCCCCCCCCCCCCCCCTCCCCATCCCCTCCCCTCCCTTTCCCGGTCCCGGAACCAGCTCCGAAATGCCAACAAATTTCAATCGGAATTCCGTGTCCAAGGCACGTTCTCTCTCGTCTTCCTTCGCCATACATTATTTTATCCACATTTGGTAGGGAAACGCAAGCTTGCTCGCATGCTTACTACATACGGATTGTTATAATCATATAGCATACACGAAACATTGTTCATATGAATAGATTACTCACGCAGGCAGGAACTGGAACAGCACTAGCCAATGTCTAAAGCTATGCATAGATGTCAGGAAGCTGTTCCTTGAACTGTGTTATGCGGAGGTTATGAAATGAGACTTTCTCGGACATGTCTATGAGATAGCCTTACAGATTATAAGACATGATGTATCATTATCTTTAGTGTATTAGGTGATTATGTAATACATTTTTTAAATTTAACTGTCAACATTTGTTATAGCGCAGCCGATTATGAAGACAATCGAATTAAATAATATTTTATGTTTAATATTTCACCTAGATTCTTAGATATAGTAGGTGCATTTTGAAGTGTTTATGCTGACGATACTTTTGACTAGCCCGGTGTTACCCGTTTGGGTTGATCCATGTAAGACTTGATGATGATCGGTCTTCCAGCCTTTCTGTTATTCCACTGTGTGTATAACTCTTGCATGCATGACTGCTGGTGCCCCCGAGGTGAGTTGCTACCTGTCCCGGCCAGGGGCCCATGCCCTGCCCTGCCCTTCACTTCACTTCCCTTCCTTTCCTTTCCATGGCTCCCTTTCTATCCTCTGCCCGCCCCGGCCTGAGCCTCAGGTGATTCCAAAGCACCCCCTTCCCCATCTTTCAGGGACACAAATTTCCATGTTCGACGTTTTCCCAACCATAAATGCTCTCAAATGCAGATCCTCCGTCCTCAGCATTTGGAGTACACGTCATTTTGCACATCTCAGGAGTTTTGGGTAAATTTCGATGTGTTGTGCTCCGGTGGATTGTCCATGACTGTGAAAGAGACATGCTCCTCCGTCGTTCGGACCCGATCTGAGAATCATCGCATCACCTCGTCTCGCCTGGCCTGTCCGTAGTAGTACAGTAGTAGCAGTAGTAGGTCTATGTGTATCCACATATGTATGTCCCTCGTATGTCCCGTTAAGCCATCGTATACGACAAACGGATACGGTTCCCGGTAAGAGCAATCAGCGGAATAAAAGGGCACCCCCTGGTAGATATACTCAAAGTTGTTTGTCAAAAGCAACAACATTGCTCGAGTTGACCATAACCACTCCCTCCACTTGCAACAGATCCAAGTAGTGCCCTCCCAAAATAGTCTAGAGACGGATTTGCTCCACAGCTAAATTTCTCCCTAAATCTGGCTCCGGCTGCCCTAAATTTGGGTTTGCACCAGCAACTGATCCATTGCAGCAGAATAACAGCCATAGCCCCTCCCGTCTGAGAGGGGCAAAGTAGCAGAACGTTAAAACTGTCGGTATTTTGCCACAGAGCAGTGACTCATAAGTGAGTTACGAACAATAACATTACACGTGAACTTCGTTAAAAGTTGTAGATCTCCACAGAAAAAACTGCTTGCATATCCTGAAACGCCCTCGTAAGGCTGTGTCAGTGACTTATCTATTAATCGCCTGAGAGAAAGATTTCGCTGTCTCCGCTCGTGAGCAACGAAAAGCAGTCTATCTCCTCACAGCTGAGCTACACGCTTTTCTCAAAAGTCCAACACTGGCAGCCACGGCCTCGGCCTCCAGCTTGAGCTTCATGTGAATTATCAGTCTGTAGTCTCTGCACCAGGATCAGGTCAGGTCAAGTCAGGTCAGATCAGGTCGAGCTCACAATTTAAAAGAGTGCCTTGCCTTTACAATAGACTGCAGCGACTGCTCTGTAATTCACCACGCAGCACAGTCCAAGTTGACATGGACTGCATATGGCAGCAAGATACATATTGGATTCAGAAGTCCAGACAACCGCGTTCATATCTTCGGGCCACTTGCACCCTGCCGTCACGTTTTCTTCGACTCCGGCCCTGCGCTCGTTATATCAGAAGGAACAATTTAGATTTCTCAACGAGATACTTCGTCGCTCCATAGCGAGCACGTGTACAGCAGCAAATGCCGCCTTGCGAAATCCACCGGTATGCTTGATACAGCACCGCGACGTCCATAATTCAACGTCAAACCACGTGCCAAGTAAGGACTTGCTTGCCACCGCGACGCCCATGCTTCATTCTCGCCATAAGCACAAGAAAGTAAGTATAGCAAAATTGATGGGAATAACCCATCATATAATTCAATGATGAATCCAACAGGGTGGGATGACACTGGGCTCCAGTATCGTTGTGATGATATAAGAGAGAATATAATCACAATGTGATACATGCTCTATCAAATGTATTCAGATTATCCAAATCAATAAATCTGACCACACTCTTGGAGCATCCCAAGAATCAGTATCATGCTTTCATTACACATCTAATTGTTCCGCACAATTGTGATGTACCACTTTTGTCAAAATGACCCGACCCTACCTTGGAATCTGTTTCGACGAGTTAGTTATTCGCAAAGATGACGTGAGCACTACTTGCGTCAATGCACGTGCCACCAAAGTTCACAGCCTTGTGATGAAGGGCTATGTCCTCACACATTAACAAGTGTAAGAGCTTATTCTGATTGAGAGCCTAGAATATCAATGTGACGTCTTGTATCTAATTTTGATAGCATTGTGTAGCATGTTTACTCCATATATCCATCCCATTATAAAGTGCATTACCCAATGCATACCAGAAGATGCTTATCACTTTTATTTGATGTTAGGTACAGTAGTTTGTAACCTTCTTTACTGAATCTAAAATATATGGTGCTGGAAATCAATATTGTCCTTGTGATCCTAAGGAGAACAACTTCCCAAACATCTCCTTGATTTCATCCCTGTAAGATTTGACTGGATCTTTACATGTATATACATGTTGCTATTTACGTTTGTTCGGAGTGACAAACCTTCTTCATAACTTCTTGTTCGAGATCCAATGCAGTACATAGTTGTATAGCTTGAATAGAGAAACAAACATTTGAGAAAAAAACATATCCAACTCTAAAATACAATTCACATCTTTGTTCATTGTCTAAATTCTGACTATTCCAACAATTTGATAACAATATTATATTGCATAGTATTAGAAAACTTGATGCCATGGGAGATATGATTGAATTTTTTCAAACATTAACAAAAACTTATTGCTGCAATCAACTCTGGAGTTTTAGAATTTGAATTTTTTTCATTTTCAATGAATATACTTTCATAAAGTTACAAAGTGTTTATTTAATCCAATTCAATGAAAATTTGTGTTGCTTAAATATTATTAAACATAATTGATATGAGATAATATATAAATTTGTGAATCTAATTCAAATAAATCAGTAAATAATCCATATTGTGATCTCAAATCTCTATCACTAATGCAATATAAAATAAAAAGTTTAGTGCAATGAATAATTTTTTCACTTGAGCTTTTCAATTTTGAAAATTTTCAAATTCAAATTATATGAAGTATATAATTTATATCCAGTATATGCCCGTAGGGCCCCTTTGGGGCCCTACGGGCAGATACTGGAAAGTTTCTGGGTTCGGAGAGGCACTCTACAAAATATTTTTTTGTTTGACATTTTCTGCCCGTAGGTCCGACGCTTCTAGAAATGGCTGAGAAAGAAGGCGCGTCTTAGCAAAGCAATGTGCTTCTTGTTATTAATGTTGACAAACTTGCAACAAATTACATTCTTTTAGTTTGTGAAGAACTTTCAAAGGAATCTGGTCAAAAAAAATTTAAAATTTTGTTTACCTTCCATGATTCACATTCAATATATATTTGATGCAGTAGATAAGTTAAAAAGTAACAATATCTTTGGCCTAAGATTAATTATAAGCAAATCAATTGTTGATTTTTCTAAATGATTCTTTTATCATTAGAAAACTAATAATCATGATGAATACCAAAATCAGGTTGGAAATAAATTGAATAGATGAACATGTTTTTTTCATCTTTTAATTCTTTATCGCGCTCATACAAGTTTGCAGCAAGATAATTGTATTTATCAAGACAATTGTGTATCTTAGTCCAATTGTATATAATCTTCATGTCCATGAGTTAAAAAGTTTATAAACAAAATTTTAATATTATACATGATGGTTCTGTTCCATAGTCCAACATTTTACTTCAAATCTATACCTAGACCATAACCATCAATGGCGATCCATGCCCATCCATGCTATTCAAATATAAACCAATCGTGTTATGTGTATTACACGGTTGCAACAATTCTTGGTTGGATCTCACAAGCACTGCCCTTGACATTACTTATGCTCATCCATGCCCATTTATGGAAAAACATAATGTCACCCAAAACCTATGGGCATGAGTGGGTTTGGGCATGGGCACCCAATGTTGGGTTCTGTTCAATCAACAACTATCGACATTGATCAAAACTATCAAACAAGTCTTATACTCACTCAATCAAGTACTTTCATGATGTTGAAGATATGATTTACTTGTAATTACAATTATGTCTTGCATGATAATTTATTTTTCAGTAAATATAACCAATATCTTGATCTTGAAATTTATATTATATACATATATGAAATTTTAAAATAATTCGTCTATAAATAATTAAATTTATCTTATAATAATATATTTCAAAAAAATAAATGTAAAATGCGTCTTTACAATCAGTAACATTTTTTGTAATCTCAATAATATATATAAAAGATATTTTATTCCAAAAATTTCAAAATTTATTATCTTTTTGTTGTTTCATCTTCCCATTTATAACGATCAGGTGATTTTATCTCCAGTAGTTTGTCATGAAGTCTCAGCTGTTGTTTCTTTCTAAATTCTTTCTATTGGACATAACTAGTAAAATCACGAGATAAATCTTTTAGGTTTTTACTAAAGATATCATCATTTTTGGAAGATATAACCATTTTTTTAAAATCTATCTTCTTCAATGTGATTAAAAGATTGCCGTGTCATATATTTTCTTTTTTATTTCTCATTGAGTTTGACGAAATTTAAAATTGTAAATAATATCACGCAAAACATAATAACTACAATCATCATACACTTTCACTCTTGTTTGAATTTGCGTTATTTGCATAGATTTTTAGCATATCTGAAATTGATGATTGACAATTTAACCCTTCATATTCTAATATTTGTAGTAGTCTTATGCATATACTCTTCCACATCAATTATTTAGATTAATATTTTATTCATAATCATTGATGGTTTAACATCGCATTTCAAGTGTTTTATATTTTCAACTCTTTTTTGTTATTTTTTTATATACATGATGAATATCAAAATTTTAAGAATATGCCATTTAAAAGGATTTCCTGTAAGAAAATTCGTAATTTAAACTTTTTAAAATAAAATTTGACTAATCTTCAACTATCGCATAAATTAGAATCTGCATATTATTTCACAATATTGAAATTATTCATTCTGAGAAGACTAAGAAGTATTTTAAGTTTCAAGTAATGTATTATGTACAAAATTTTCACATGAAAGATTTATAAATGAGGAAATTTTTATGTTCATCCTCCAATAAATTCAATTATATGAAAATGAGTGAGTTTATATTTATATTTTAATGATTCTTAATAATTAAATTTTATGAATTTTTCTATATGTAGTGTTGCATATTATATATGATATGCAAAAGTAGCTAAACACTCCAAACACACTAATTATATATTGTATTATTTCTTGTCCATCTGTTCTCGTTATATAACACAACATATGTACAAGATATTTCATTTCTTAAAATTATCTTATTTTTGAATCTACACTCTAAATAATCTAGACTTGTAAATTTTAGACTTAAAAATCTTTTTATTTTAAAATACGAAATCAAAATATGTGGAACATGATCAAAAAATATATTCAAGTCATATATAATGTATGATAAAATTATGTGTTTTAAAACTAAAGATTAATTATGCTAGTGACATAAGTGACTTCTCATTTGAATAGACAGTAAATTTTTTCTCAATACACCACAATTTACCTTTCATAAATAATCTTCATGAATTTAAGATACAGGTTGAACAGGTTATGGATAAATACGTTTTTTAGAAGAATGCTTCTTGCACCTTCACCATTGCAAAATCACAAAGATTTCATTTTTTTTTCCTTTATGTCTAGATAAACAAGGTTTCCCTCATAATTTCCATACATCTTATTACTCATTGCAATTTATTACCAACATATATATAAGCAGTTGATGTATTGCTTTCAACTAACACTTATAAGTCATAATTTATATCTCACAAATGGCTGATAGGACAGCATTAAAATTCATCACAATTCAAGTTACTATTAATCATTTAAAAATATATATTTTAATCTATTTTCACTCTCACTAATTAAAAATGATTGCATATCATTATAATTTTTTTTATGAAGGTTTTAAAATAATATTAAAGTTTAAGATTTTTAAAAGTTGATTTTTTTTTCACATAGGAATAAATTCATTCACATTTCAAAACGTGAAAAGTATGACAATTTACATGAAATAACATCCCATTTTATCCTATTTCATATCATGTACTTCCTAATTTTCATCAACAACAAGACTTATATGTGCGTAAAAATATTAAAAGTAATAACTTAATATATTTGTCAAATCGATTAAAGATAATCTTCATATATATTTAAATAATTTAAATATGTTCACTAAAATGTAAAATGCTATATTGGAAAATCTAGAAATATTTAGATGTCATAATGCAAAAATCAACCGCACACGTTTTATACATTGAAGATTATCAACAAAATAGTTTCTAAAAATATTGGTACTTTTTAGGAGAAATCAAAAAGTGACATATTTTACATCATGTCATAATGTCTTATCTCAAAGTGAAACATTTTATACCTTTTTGTACGTCTCACATCGCAGCATACCGTTACGCCTGGCACAGAGGCACCGGGAGAGCCGGTCACCGGGTAGAGGAGGGAAGCGAAGCGAAGCGGGGAGAGGGAAAGAGGATCAGATCAGGGACAGGAGAGAATGTCTTTTTATCGAGTGCATCATCCATCGATGCGATAGAACGATCGAATCCATCGGAGCGGATCGGAGGAGGACAAGGGAAACACGTGGTCTTGGGTGGGGGTAGATTCGCTGGACGATCGAGCTGAGCTGAGCTGCAGATTATTGTGACTAGGGCCTACTCGCCCGGAGGTGGTTAATGCGGCGGGCCCCCTCCCCTCCCCCCGTCTCTTCTTCTTCTTCTTCTCCTTCTCTTTGTCCTTGTCCTTCTTCTTCTCCCTGCTCCTTCCCTTCTTTCCCTTCCTCCTCCTTCCTTCCTTCCTTCCTTCCTGCTGTCCGCTGCGAGGATAAAGTTTCGTTTTTTCTCCGGATAAGAAAATAGAACTGCTTGCCCCCTTTCTGCAGCAGCAGCAGCAGGCCCCAGCAGTACATTCGGCAGAATAAGCAAACCCCAGCAGGAGCAGCAGCAGTCAGCTGCAAAGCAGCCGAAGCAGCCACCAGCAGAATCGGAACAACTGATAGATAGAGTCGCGGTCAGCACTCAGTCACTCGCCACCAACCTGCCTGCTACGCAGCAGCGGAAAATGCGAAGCGAAGCCGAGGCGAATTCAGTTCAGTCATACAGTAGTAGCAAGCGATAGAGCCGATCCCGCAGCAGTAGGAGCAGGAGAAGGAAAGGAGGTGCCAGACGGGAAAGTCTTCGGGAAGGAGATAAACAGTAGAAAAGGAAAAGAAAGGCAGCAAGGCCCGGACAAGGAGGAAGACTCGGGAGACGACTGGAGAGAAAAGAGGGGAAGAAAAAGGGGCCCAAGGGGACAAATTCTGGACTGAACGGAAGGAAGGCAGAAGAGAGTCGAGGCTTGCGCACGAGAGCTCGCTCACAGACACAGAGAAAGAGAGAGAGTCTCTCTCTGTGTGTGTTTGAGAGTACAGAGGTGAAAAGGAGACGGGAAAGTGAAGAGAGAGAAGATGATGGCACGTCTTGCAATGGAAGGAGGAGATGGTAGTACGTAAGGGGGAGATGTGCTGTAGGGTCGCTGGAGTCGAGGCAGAGGGCGGGGGAAGGTACAAGAGGAAGGAAGGGCTACGGAAGGGAAAGACGGGAGAGATGATGATGACGATGGTGGAGAAGGGGAATGGGGTGGGGCTGGGAGGAGGAGTGAGAGCGAGGAGCGGAGAAATTGAGAAATTGGAGAGCGCGGTGCGAAGCGGAGGTGCGGTGGTGTGTCGAGGAGCTGCAGGTGGAGGAGAGGCGGGGCGACGGGTCGAGGTGGCGCTGTTGAGATGGTGAGCGCGGAGGTTCAATTTAGGGAGGCGGGGCGGAAGGGAGGAGGAGGAGGAGGAGGAGGTGACGACGACGACGACGCGAGGCTAGGAGAGCTGTGGGATGGAGCAGCTGGTAGATAAGGGTTTCTCTCGCGAGCTTGCGTCTCAGGCATTGGCAGCCACAGGTGCAAAATCGACCCTGAAAGCTACGGAATGGATTCTCAACCAGAGGCGCGTCGATCAATCAAAAGCTGCTGCCAATGCCCCGCGCCAACAGGCCAAGATGGACCATTATTTCCAAGGAAATGCCGGAGCTCGAGCAGCCGCTGGCTCATCAGGCCCTCAGGCTGATGGCAGCCCCGCCGAGGGTGGTTCTCCCGAAGCTCCCCACCCGCAGCAGCAGCAGCAACAACAAGACGACGATGCCGTGGGCCTCGCGGCCCCTGGAGACCGCGAACGAGAGCGATGGGCAATGGGAGGAGCTGCGGCTGCAGCAGCAGACCGAGGTGATAGAGCGGGCACTGGCTTCGACGCGAGCACACCGAAGGTCTGGAGAAATCTAAATTCCCCAGCGATTGACAAACAGGCTAGGGCAGAGCAGGAAGATATCGGCTCCTCTGCATATGCAGGAGGTGGTGGTGGCGCAGGCGGAGGAGGGGGTGGAGACCGTGGTGGTGGTGCAGGAGGCAGGGCTGCAGAGCAACCTCGAACTTACGTCGCCAGAGGAAGCTTGGTGCCTGCCCCCGTCGCTGGCAGGGCCGAGGGAACAGGGCAGTCCGCGAACATACCCCAGGGCATGTACAAACACGCGATGGCGGCAGGAGCAATTCAAGACGGAGCGGCCTCGGGGACCAAGAGGCAGAGGTCGGACGAGGTGGAGAAGCCGGGCAAGAGGGCCGCTGCGCCCCCTCTCTTCTTCTCGCCGAAGCCCGCCCAATCGGCCGCGCTAAAGCTGCAGAAGGTCGAGAAAGCCAAGCAGGCGCAGGCGGCAGCAGCGGGATCTGGGACCGGGAAGAGCGGGAGTTTGGCTCCTCTGGCCGAGAGGATGAGACCGGCGACGATCGACGAGGTGGTCGGACAGGATCACTTGCTCGCTCCGAGGCAGATGCTGCGGGCGCTGCTGGAGAATGACACGATTCCGTCGATCATTTTATGGGGTCCCCCTGGCACGGGCAAAACGTCCCTGGCCCGAGCAATTGCGCGCACCGTGCCCGACATCCGATTCGTGGGGCTGTCCGCTGTAAATATTGGTGCGAAAGAGGTGAAGGGAGTGTTAGACGAGGCGGCGAAGCGAAAGAAGAGGAACGGCTGCAGGACGCTGCTCTTCTTGGACGAGGTGCATAGATTCAACAAGGCTCAGCAGGATTTATTCCTCCCTTCTGTGGAGGCGGGGCACATTATTTTTATAGGGGCGACCACCGAAAACCCCTCCTTCGAGATCAATGCTGCGCTTCTGTCCCGGTGTTGTACTCTGACTCTGAATAAGCTCCAACCCGAGCACCTGAGAAAAGTTTTGGAACGTGCAATTTCCGACCGCGAGCGAGGACTATACGCTTCTTTGCCAGAGAGTGCCTCGGGGGGAGGCGAAATCGTGGTCAAGGTCGAGGAAGAAGCCATCAATTTTCTAGCGGGGGCAGCCGATGGAGACGCGAGAGTCGCTTTGAATGCCATTGAGGTCGCCACCACAGCCGCCTTCTCCGAGGCCAAACAACAAAGAAAAGGTCAACATGCTGCAGACGCCTGCAACTCTGCTGCAGTTCCAGTAAATCGAAATCTTGGGCTCGACCGGGATCGATTAGGCGGGAGTGGATCGGGGCCCAAGAAGGAATCTGCCGGTCCTTCTGTATTTGGGAACGAGAGAGATAGACCTGTGGCGGGATTTGGCATAAAACGTTTCGAGGCATTGATAGAAAGCGCAAAAGACCCTCACGCGCTGGAAGGCTATACGAAACCCTTCAAGAAATTCGTGGGCGGCAAACAAATCATCCCGGTTCTCAACCCGTCTAGATTCGAAAGGGACGTGTCGGTAAGTAGCTGTGATGTCGACAAGGATGGAAATCCGAGCGTGAGGGACAGCAGAGATCCTGCTCTTTGTACAGAGGCGGCAGACAGGAAGGGAGGTAACCCAGATGCGATTGTTCCGGACGGCGAACACTTGGAGAAGGTTGGAGCACTGGTGGCTACCGTGACCCTGCACCAGGTTCGAGATGCCTTGCAAAGATCGCACATTCTATATGACAAGAACGGTGAGGAACACTACAATATTATCAGTGCTTTACACAAATCTATGAGGGGGAATGACGCCGACGCAGCCATATACTGGTTAGCTAGGATGCTGGAGGGCGGTGAAGGGCCGCTTTATGTCGCTCGGCGGCTTGTCAGGTTTGCGAGCGAAGACGTGGGCTTGGCCGATCCCCAGGCCTTGGGAATCGCAGTTGCATGTTACCAAGCCTGCCACTTTTTAGGTATGCCAGAATGCAACGTGAACCTGGCCCAGTGTGTGGTTTATCTTGCTCTAGCTCGCAAGTCCGTTGTGGCGTATCAAGCCATAGAAGCAGCGCAGAAGCTAGTCAGGGAGTCTCATCTCAACGAACCGGTTCCACTGCATCTTCGCAATGCTCCAACGAGGCTTATGAAAGAAATGGGTTACGGAAAGGGTTACATCTATCCACCAGGCCAGTCCGGACGGGTGGAGCAAGAGTACATGCCGCCTTCTCTACAAGGACATAAGTTCCTACATTGGCAGGATTTGTGACACTCCTGGCGTACTGAAGGTCAACATTTTCTCCCTCTATCCTTCGTTGCTTGGATATATGTTCGGGGGTATTTTATGTATCGGATACTTTGTCCTCCTTGCACTTGATGATGATTGGGAGGGGTCATAGAGTTGTTTACTAACTATAATGACTCTACCAAGAAATCGTAGGGCATCCAAATTCTTACACGAGAGCTGCTTACAGCTGCTTCAAGAGCTTTTAAAATTGACAGGCCTTATATGAAACATACATCTAGGACCATTCCTTTCAGCCTGACGACTATGTAGATGATTATGCAACAAGGCTTCAGGGAATGAAGACATGCCACTTCCATATTTTTTTTTCTAGTAGTCAACATTGATTCTAAAGATGAGTCATTTCACCTTGTTTGATTTAGCTTGTAATATGTGATATAAAAACACCAGTCTTGAGTGGGGAATTCACCTACATATGATTGTAAGGTCAGATTTGTGGCTATCTTCTGCTAAGGATGGTCTTAGCACACATCACATTCTCCTCTGTGTCATTCGAGGACATGATACCATGTTAGGCGTTGATGAAGCTTACCTTTGATGGACGAATGCTAAGTCCAGACTGGCAGCAGGGATGTTGTGATAAGTTTCCATCACTCCAAATTGAGACAAGGCTGATATCGGCAAAGTGTGACCTCTTTTTGATCTTTCCCTATGATTTAGAGGCAATTTATTTTAGCCTGAATATGAATAACAATGAACATGCCATTATTGAGATGATTTCTGTGGTATTCAGTATCCGACAATGACAATTCTTGCTAGAAGGATAATTATTTTGAACTGTTTCGATTGTAATGTTTATGTTCACTGGTAGAATGATTTTTTTTGTATGTAAGGGAAATCGAGAAAAAGTCGTAAAATTTAAGAATAGTACGCCCTCCTCCAATGACATGATACTTATGCGTTGTAACAGTTGAACCATCATTCATGTCATTACCCATCATCAGTTGCAGCTCCGTCTGTTTGTAAGGAGAAGAAATCTTTGCTCTTAACATTCACATTTCGGCATGGAATGAGAGTAATACAGGAAGTTGATAGTGAACCGCCCACATTTATTATGTGTCATACATGGTTAGGATCACTTGTACGTGACGATTATGTCATACTCAATGATCTTTTCACCAACTTTTCATTAAAATCTTGTTTCTGAAATATTCTACTAATTTCGATTGAAGTGTCCTATCTTGCAAATCAAACAAAAGTGATGCTAGTGCATGTAGTTCATGCAGACTACCGTTTCTGTGGTTTGGCGTCCTCCTGCTTCTGCCAGCAGGGAAGCTTCAAGTATCGTAGTCTGTCCTAATTGAGTTGTAGATTATAGGTAAATTTGGTGATTCGTCCTTCATGAGATGTAGAAGATGTACAAGGAACATGACTCTAGACTGTCATCTGAAAATCCCCCATGTGTTTCCAGATTTGGAATTATTGTCCTTGGAAAGCTTCATGTCAATTTTCGCATTATCTACGGACCTTAATTAATTACTTGGAATGGAATTTTTTACGCTTGTCAGGAACAGAGTGCACAAAGCTGGGTGCATTTTTTGTGTACGTATTTCATGAGTCAACGCTGATTTTGCTGTTCGTGTTTTTATGATGCAGACGCTTTTGCAACAGCTCCTTGACAATCGGTTGTTTCAGTCATCAGTCTTTTATTGTACATCATAGATGTACGTCATGGATCATTCTCTGAACACTTGCAGCTGATGGAAGCTTGAGGAGCTTCCCGGTGCTCGCTCGTGGGTTTTGACACAGTACCGGCTGGGCTGAGAGTTTGTGTATGTATAGCAGGTTTGAGACCCGTCGGTTGTCTAAGGAAGGAAACAAGGGCTGTAATTGCGATGTTAAATTTTGTAGTTAGTTTCAGAGTTCATTACAACTCTGATTTCTGTTGTACAGGGAAGTCTGGGATGAAACTCTTTGTATCCATAACAAAGAGCATTGTGACGATACTCATCTAAAGGATAAGTTTTTTCTGAGAGATTCTTATTATCATGAACGCAGGAGTGAGATTCTTATCCACATGTGCGAATGTTTCACATGACCTCGTCTAAGATTGATGTGTGTTGTACGGAGTGGTCGATCAAGTGGGTCCATCTGGGCGGCATTGCACCTTGATAGCTCTGTCAGTGCCATGGCCCCTTTGGGCTTCTTCTGTACATTAAACTTCAATCATCCATCCATTCATTTTTTTCCTGGAGTTGAGAGTTCGTTTGTGCTGCTTTTCTCATGAATGCATGTCAAAATACAATCTTTTGTTTTCGGACAAGAATCAAGTTATTGGAGGACCTCAGTGTGCACATCCATGTCGAAAAGTAAACGCCAAAGAAGTCGAAAAGGTTCCACCTATATTTGTGAACTCCCATTTAGCTCTGGTTGTGGACGATCATATCATTAGGTGTGCAAAGGAGTCAACATCTCGGCGTTGTCTGCGACGTAATTATAGACAGCCATGGCAGGATAAGTCAGTGGATTTCCTAAAACGGGACGTCCGTAAATGAGGAAGTCAAGTCTCTACAGTTGTCTACCATCTCGCAATTTAGAGAAAATGTGATGCATTGGTTGACGGAAACTCTCACTACTCACTCACTCTCACATGCCCATGAACATTCTATCTCTGCAGGATCTGGTCCCGAGCGTTTCGCGGATGACGACAATGTAATGGCTACTGACGGTCCGGAGAGATTATGCCTGCGTTGTATATTCTGGATAGAATGGTGAATTCTCCTTCAGAAGGGTCTTCTGTTTTCTTTCCAATGATTCACTAAAAAGAACTTTTGGGATCATTGACCCAGACTTATAGTTGGTGGTGGACCAGGGAAGTTACTATCCTTAGAATAGTAAACGTATAGCGTACTTTTTACGGTGGGTCGTCCTGTCTCTTCCCTTTTATTCATGTCTCCTTTTCGTCAGCTTTTCAAATTCAGCCTCTTTTTCACCCGCATCGTTGTAGTGCACTTATATAGAGTAATTTGAACAATGTTTGAAGATACAATTTCTATATATAGATTTGAATAGTTCTACTGGGTGGGGACTATTATTTCTAATAATCTACAGTTGTAAGAGAAAGCTGCAATATCTTTTCATAGTTGAACTAGTATTACAATATAAAAATATTATTATTCAAAAATTTGATCATAGATATTACTATACTTGAGAATATGCAAACCTGATAACATTATTTCGTAATTTAGATCTTAATAGAATTGTGTAATGAAAGATATTTAGCTCGTCATTTAATCTTAAAATTAATTTAGTTTAAGTTTATACATATAGTTATAATCAACAGCTCCAAATTCATTTCATTGTTTTATCCTAAGTAACAAATTGAATATATATTCTCTCTAAAACAGCTATATGCGATTCTTTCCAAAGTAATCCATTACTTGGCAATCTATTACTTTGCATTCGCAACCTCCTTTCACATCTCTCATGATGTGTTCTACGCTTAAGAAAGCTAAATCCACATGAGGTGTATAATGCATAGCTAAGAAAACACCTGTAAGTATTTGGATAACCAAACAAAGACCAGCCAACGAACCAAAACCCCACCAATAACTTATACACTAAGTATAGAAGGTGTACGGTTCATCATGCTTGGAATTGATTTATTTCTTGGATTAAAGTTGATGCGCAATTTTATCGATTTTAGTCTTTACTACTATCTTAGAGAGTCACAAATTGCTCATGGTTATTTATCAATGTGAACTTATTAGAATCCATTAACTGAATTTCACGATGTATAGAGTTACCTACTTGTTGCATGTGGGGATAAGCCACCATTTTTAATTTTCTTCAGATTTGCCTGACCCTTTTGTCAATCTGCATGAACACATAGACAAATGTCTCGATCTGTTAGCTATGAGTGCTGAGTTAAAGACCGGCTGTGCATGCAATTTACAGAAAATGTCCACCCTCTTTATAACCATAGAAGGCAGAGTCCAGAAAGTCTAAAAGAAGACTACGCCGAAGTAAAAGAAGAGCAATGAGAATGTAGTACTCACTCTCATAGCAACTCTTTATCTTTGTCGATTTTTCTAGTTTCTCTCACGTATGCAACATACTGGATGGGGTCTTCCCATCCTTACAGATATAACGAGTTGAAGACCCCACAGTACGGTACAGGGATGGAACTAAAGAATCACATGCATATAAATAGTAGTGATAACAGTAAAGTGGGAGCCACCTTAGATAGCAAAAGCGAATGTAATATCTGGTCAACCTTTATAATGATTAAGAAATATGGGAGTTAGCCCCATAGTATTAGTATAATGATATAAAAAATGTTATACATCAGGAATTAGAGGGCACGGTATATTATCATTTTGCATGATTGCTTTATATAACAATGAAAACAAATGATGATCTGTCTGGTTGACACTATAATGAAAAACTTTTGCAGCTCTGTTTACATAATATAGAGATCCAAGAATATTTCATATAACATCATCAAAACTATATTTCTGTTACATATACAGCAGTAAAGTAATAACAAATAGAGTGGTTCATAGTCTTGTATAGGATCTGTGCCAAAGGCTACCAAAAAACGAATGATTAATACTATGATAAGGGCTTGCATGTTTGTCCCATAACCAAGTTATCCACAATCTTCCACATACATCTCATAACCAAAGCCCCGTGCATGACAAAATGCTAAAAGGGATGTCCTCGCTGTGATTGTTTAGAGCAAATAACATAATCTACCATCCGACTGAAGCAGCATGACGTGGAGAGTAGTATGATCATTTGAAAATTTTGGAAGCTTCAAAGGTCTAAGTTTTGAAAGTAAATCTACACGATTAAAAAACAACACCGTCAATCTCTTTGAAATTAATAATGCTAGCATAATTTGCAAGTTAATGATAATTTAAAATTGTTCCATTGCATTCTCAAACAAAATTTTGGACTATATAGCTACAAAACTCTTTTGAATAAATATATTTTATCAAAAAAAATATTCCACAAATATTTAATTTGATATTAAAAAGTTGAAGTAGGTTGAATTAAATAGAGAATTAAGAAATATTCAACAACATGTATCCAAAAATTTAGCTAAAAAATTTAAAATATTATGTTTAATTTAAATTCATTATATTTAATTTTGGATATTTAAATGCTATATTATTTCAACTTAAAAATATAAAGTATTCACGAATTCATCAATAAAAATGAATGAAACTATAATATGCATGAAAATAATAAGATTATAATTTTAATCTAAATAATAGTAGATCATATATGATAAAATTGAAAATAGACTTGCATATGTTTTTATTCAATAAAATCTTTTATAAATCTAAAAAAAATTAATCTGATTTTTAAAAATTTAAAAATTAATAATCTTGATCAAATTAATAAAAATTTAATACAAACATAATAGAAGAAAAAAAACGAAAGATGTCTAAGAATTTTTTTAACTATTTTTTCCTTATCTCTAAAAAATAAATGTTAAATTTATTCTATCAATCAATTCATAAATTTGAAAATTATTTAATATATCTTTATACAAGGATACATTTATATCATTTCTTCAATAAAAATTGAAAAAAATTGCTATTAATTAACATTAAAAGTGCACACTTTTTGTACATTTAATTTTTTATTACATTTAATTTATCTTAAAAGTGATTAAAATGATGATTATTCCCTTAAAAAATTTATTAAAAATAAATTTTATATATCCTGTCAATCATTTAAAAAAATAGATGTCAAATTTGATGTTTAAATAATAACATATTTGTGATTCAAAAAAAATATTGAATCATTTTCTACCCAAATTTTTCATGATGAACAATAAGTTGTTGTTTGAAAAATTTATAATAATAAGAACAAAAATTTCATATATATATAATCAATCATGATATAAAAAAATTGTATATATAAGGTGAGATTTCAGCTGTAGAGCTCAACATCAAAAAATTTCAATAGCACAAAACAATAAAAAATTAGAGCTAAAAGTTTTCATCTCTTCCCAAAAAATAAAATTTGAGTCAAAAGGGAGGGTTCCTCAGAGATTATTTTAGTAGTGCAAGCGCTACTATATGCAAGCGGCTACCATATGATTCTCAGGTGATTGTACAGATGTAACAGACGATGAAGGTAAAAGCGGTGTGACACTTGCCATTTTATCCAACATACACACATTTAGAAAAAACTCCGGCCATTTTATCCCACGTATACAAATTTAGAGATAAGCCCAGCAGACGGTTAGGAATAAGCGTATCGGTATTTGAACATTATATACCAATATAGATAAAACCATTACTCATTGTGCATAGACTTATGACGTCACAAAATATCAAACTGGCAGATATTACAACTACTTTCTTTTATATAGACCCTAAACTGTCTGTACATTGACATTTGTAAGAATACTTACCTTTTTAGTAAAAAAGACAAAATCCTTGGTAGCTATTCTATGTGCTAATTGACCAGTCGATGAGCTACTTTGGGGTTAGCTTCTGGAGCATGACATCATTTTTCACTCCGCTAATTTCAATTGCTGGTTTGTACTCTTTAACTTAACTTGAAGACTGGTCAGATGCAAGAAAAGACTGCTGCTTAATAGTATACTTGCAATCCAAATGAAGATGACGAGAGATCGTACGGTTGAGTAAAATTATCAAGGTGAGCTTTAGATTATTTGACTGTGAGATGCATTCCGAATGAAGAATGTTTCTTATAATTTTATATGTGCATTTCTTGCAATTGTAAAATATATGTTGACATTATCAAATACTTATAGGAAATTTTTTTAAACGTAACAATGTATAATGTATAGCTTCATTTTGATTTTTCATTATCTTTTTTTTTTTAAGATATTTTTTTATACAAACTTTTCATAGGTTTCAAAAAATATAACATTTGCTTCGTTTGAAAATAACAGTTGTAAAATAGAGTTAAAAAGAGTGTTGATTACTTTTCTTTGATCATTTGTGTATTACTAAAAAATATAACATTTATATAATTTATTTGATTTGTAATATTTTTATCAAAATTTTCATAATTTGAAAACTTAATCATGTCATCAGTTTTACAGTGTCATAGTAATATCATTGCACTCTTATTTGAATACGAGTAAAATTAGAATAAGTCAACCAGTTTTTTATTTTAATTATA